CTTAAAGCCTAAATATATTGAACTAGCTGTACAATTGAAGTATATGACTCACTTGCCACTATAAAGTCTGACACCAGATGCAGCTTAATTGTCACTTGCCACTCACTGATAAGGTTTTGAAATGAGTCTGCAAGCAGTTGATTTATTATGGTCTCTGTGCAGTCAAACCTCTCTGCTAATGAGGATCTGTATTTGCAGTCGCTCCCCAGTGCTGGCATCACGGCCTCAGCTCTGCCTCAGGTCATCAGGCATTAGATTCCCATAAGGAGGGCACAACCTAGACTCCTCACAAGCCCTGTTCACAGTAGGATCTACACCCCTATGAGAATCTAAAGCCACCACTGGTCTGACAGGAGATGGAGCTCAGGCAGTAATGCAAGCAATGGGAAGTGGCTGTGAATGCAGATGAAGCTTTGCTCATCTCCTGCCATGCACCTCCTGCTGTATAGCACAGTTCGGCATAGCAGGAGGCCGGGGTTGGGGACACCTAATGTAGAGCATGGGAATGTGTGTGACTGTATGTGTGACAATGTTTCTCAAAAGCCATGTATCTGGGGCCTGAGGGTGGGGATTGGAAGGGAGAACAGCTAACAAGTGAGTAATTTTTTGGAGGGTAGTGAAGAAACATTGAAAGAAAACCTATTTTTAAAACTTTCTAAATGGTGTTTACCATATATGTATGTATATGAGTCATGTACCCTTGTATAACAAACTTCCTCTACATTATCTGCTTTTATCATATTATTAAAACATTATTATATCTATCCGTACTTAGTTATTACAAGTCCATCTCTTCCTACTAGACAGTGAACCCTTTGAGTCTTGTTTGTATTCCAGACACAGGCCTGAGACCTAAAAGGTTATTTTGTAATTGTTTGATTAATGAATGCACTAATTAATAGATAGATAAATAAATAAATGGTATTAGCTATTCTTAGTTTATATTACATACTTGGAAATTTTCCTAATGCTTTCAGACATTAGGAGAGAGTTTAAAATCTTTTACCTCTAACTCCATCTAACTCAAGAATTCTTAGAGGTCTTTGATATCCAGAATCCAAGTGTCTGGCTCAGCCAGCCACCCAGCCAGCGTGGGGCAATGGAGCACAGGGGAACTCTGCTCTGGCCAAAGAGCTGTGTTACACACCATCGTAGCAGCTTGCGTTTCCCCGGATTTCACAGACCAGTGCGTGCACTCCACACCGACAAGAAATGAGAGGCCTCAGAAAGACCTTCTAAAAAGAATACATGTGAATAAGGGACATATTTATCAGGACAATATATACACTTATGAAAGGTTTTATATGTTTAGTTTTCTTCTGGGTAAACAAAATATTTACAAATTTCCCAGGATATGCAGGATATGTTAGTTGTCAATTGGTGACGAAAATAGAATAATTAGGAGGGTGATATTGGGTTTTTGAGCTGAATAAGAAAAAGTCAGCTCTCAAGAATTCAATAAATAGGAATGTTGTGTTGTCTATTCATCCTCTGAACCAAGCAAAAACTTTCAAACAAAAAAAGACCTTGAACAGTTAGAAACTCTACTGAGATAAACTTGTTCTTATACATGGTTTGTTGTACTTGTGTTTCAAATAACACACACAACCCAAACACAAAATGACATCTGTTGAAAAAAAAGAAGAAAATAGAAAAGGAAGGACAGAAGGACCCTTAGAAAACACTGAAAGGTACACAGATGATAGTCTTACAGGACTTGTAAACTTGAAACACATTATGATGAAGATGATGTCCTAAGAGAGGAGGATACAGAGGGTTTTGCAGGTGGGCTGAAACTATTAGTATTACCTGGAAATTAGACTCTGAGCCTGAGTTATTTCATTTATATGATAAGAATAATACATATCTTACAGACTAAGAATTAAATGCAACATGAGTATATAAATATGTAATGGACCTTATGAAGTGATTATCACAATGCTTGACTCACGACAAACACTCAGTATATTTTTACCTTGTATAATGGCCAAACCTGTCATCATGTCATCACCATCAACTGCACCAGTACCTACACCTGACCCCACTGGGCTCCTCTCCTGGGGGATGGAATTGCAACATGAGAAACATTTGCACTCTTGCTAAACGTTCCTATAGCTAAACTGGCCGCAGTTAAATTACAGATAGCACAGATATCTGTTAGGAGTAGATGAGGGTCTAAGTATAGGTTCCAGCCATCTGTGGGGCTTGGGAAGTGCTGTCCTGGGTATAGAGTCCTTGAGCCTTCTATGTGTCGATGGAGTATGATCCTTACCATAGACACTTGATTAATTGGGACAGAGCAAGTTAGGCCCTTTGCTGAGACACACAGCTTGTATGTCAGCAGTGAGTCCTCTTTAGGTGTCATCAGGAGAAACATTCCCACTGAGAGCTTCCTCCTCAAGGATGTCTGGACCTTCGGAAAGTTCTAGTTATTGTCCCAATGGTAATCCCCATTCCCACTTCCTCTGCCACTTCCACAAACAAATCTGAACCCTGCCTCTCTGCTTCACATCAACAGTTAAGTCTGTTTGATTTTCATCATTAGATTAACCACTATCTGATATGTTCTTATCTCTTGGGGGTATCTTTAATTGTTTATTTGCCCTTCACTTACCTCTATCTGATGTTGTTTTTGCATTTCTGTTTGCCCGGTGTCCATCTGCACAGTCACGTGCACTCTCCAACAGAACAGAACTTCCTTGATAGCAGGGATCATGTGTGTCTTACTCGCTGCTGTATCTCAGAACCCAAACACTTTCCCAGCAGGAGAGCAGAGGAGATTTTATGGGTAGACACCAGACATGAAGCAATCATTTTGATTTGGTTAGCACTTGCAGGAATGAATCCCCAAGTAAACAAAGGCCGAAGGGCCATGAACCCTCTACACGCCCATCCTTAGAAATTCGTATCAGGGAATAATGGGCCAGCTTTCCCGTGGAAAGGGTATATTTGTTGTTCCTTGTCCTTTCTCTTTCCTCTCTTGTGAGCATCATGTATCCTTTCTCTACCAGGCCGCCACTCCCTTTGCAAAAGTAATTATGAACATCTTGCCTCTTTTGTACATCTGAAACACACCAAAAAGTACTGATTGTCAGTACATAAGGCTACTGCCGTGTCTCCAGTCACTGTGTTTTTCATGCTACCTGGAATATTTAGTGCAGTGCAGTCTTTCTTACCTACTTTCTTTGTACAAGCAAGTTGCCATTCTTTCTTGACTACACTAATGTGCATTTAGAATCACATAGCCACTCAGGATACACTCCTCCAGAGCAGGCAGGAGGTGAGCTGAGCTCTACCAGGTTCTTTTCTGTAAAGGATGACCTTGAAAGGTCCTGCAGAAAGTGGCCACTTCAGTCTTAAGTGCTGCACATCAGCTGTGCCTGTTCACAAAGTGAGCCTTCATGCCACAACACTGGTACTTTCCAAGTACACTTGCACAGGGAAGAGACGATGCTTTCACTACTTACCATAAACAAAGAAATGGAGGCTGGGACTGTAAGTGCTGAGGTATATTCTGAGGGCAGGGACCCATTTCCCTGGAACTGGAGCACCTGCCTCATTTAAGGGTATCACATGCCACACGGTTTCACAAATGCTGAGAAAAACTTCATTTCCTTTACAAAACTCAATTAATTCTTGACTTTCCTCCCTGGGGTAAAACAAAACCACAGCTACAGTGGAGGCTTGAGAAGCAGATGTTTGCACGAGGAGACACTGATTTTTGGCAACGGTTGCAGTGCTGCTTCTCCCTCTGGCCAGACCCCAGACGTCCGTTCCTATCGGCGCCTCCCTCTCTCACTTTCCCGCAGAGTCAGGCACTGTGCACCGATAAAGACCATATTCTCAGGGTGGCATGGACCATCCTTCCAACAGTCAATGAAAAGATAATCTTAATGGAGGGGATGAGCCCTCTTGGGGAAGCAGGGGAAAGATGGCTCCACCCCAATAATGGTGTGCGGTAAGAAGTTCCTTCACCTGCATTGCTGCCTCAGTGCTCCCACCGCTACTCACCCTGGGGTGCGCTGACGGCCCACTGCTCAGATCTAATGAGTGATGCCACCCACCTCACCTACTAGTCACATTTCCAATATCAGCGGGCTCCGGCTCTCCACCACCAACCCACATTTATTCTCTGCCTTCTCTGTGGAGATAATTCATTAGTTGGCTCCTTACTAATCCTTCTGTTAACGAAGATTTCAGGCTACTCTAAGGCCTTAACCGAAATCTGCAAGGATCTATGACACCAACAGGTAGAAAAAAAATCGAAACCAGCTAGCAAAACTTTCCTGAGGATAGAAATACTCAAGATCTAAAACTTATCTTAAGGATATGGATTCCACACCTCAATTTCCTCCTCATTCTTGCTTCCTATTATGAAAGACCGTGATTTTAGGAATAAATAGTAAATTATGCGACAATTAGATTTCTTCCTGGGAGTTCCTTAGGGACGCATGACTAACTAGGGGTGCGGATGGGATGTGCGGAGGTGTCCGTGGAGACCGAGGTACCGAGAAAGGGTCGCAGGTTCCTAGAGCCCCCGACTCCGTTCCTTTGGTCACCTAGTCCCAGGCTGCTGCGTCCCCGGAGGGCCTGCAGGGGTGTGACTGGGAGCCCGTAGCCTGCGGGCGCCCACCCCCGCACCACCCCCCGCCCGCCCCCGCAGCCGGCTGACCGCAGCGGCAGACTGGGCTGGGGAAGGCGCAAAGCGCCGCGTGCTGAGCGGGGAGGCGGGCGGGCTGCTGCCGTGCGTCCGCCGCTCCGTCCTCCCTCCGCCACTCCTTCCGCCCCTCCCCTGGCAGCCGGGCTGTCTGCGAGTCCGGGAAACCGCTACTCCAAGCCCGCAGCCGGGGTGCGGGGCCAAAACAGAGGCGAGGGCAGAGGGAGCGAGGGGACCACAGCCCCCGCGGAGAGGCGGAGGGGCCCCGGCCTGGAAGGGCAGGGCTGCGCGCGTGTTTGCGGGTGAGGACGGCGCTGCACCTTGCTCGGCGCAAACCCGCAAACCCGCCACCCTCAGCGAGGCAGCCGCAGCCTGGAAGCCTCCCCGCCGGCGCCCGAGGCACGCGCGGCACAACCATGAACACCAACGATGCCAAGGAATATCTGGCCCGTAGGGAAATCCCTCTGCTTTTTGAGGTAAGAGGCTCAGACTTGCAGAGGGACGGAGGATGGGGAGGATCGGGGAGTGCGTCTCGGAGGCTCCGCGTGTGGAAGCCTCACCCCGTCCCACCGTGCGGACGCAGGGCATGGAAGTGAAGGGACCGGCACGAGCGCGCCCTCCCGCTCGCCCGGACGGTAGCCGCCCTTCCTGGGAGTTGCCGGGGTCCTTCCTCGTCCTTTGGCTCAGGAGCCCGCATCTCCCAGATCAAGTTTCAGTCTTCCAGCGGGTTTGCAGGCAGGCTGCACCGCTCGGAAGTGGGCGCCCTGGGTGGGCTGCAGGCGGCGGCGACCGGTGGTGCTCTCCGGAGGTGCGGGCCAGGCCAGGTGGGGACGCAGGCGCCCAGCGGCGAGCCAGGTCTCGCCACTGAGGGGCACCGAGCCCTAACCCCTACGCGCGCCGAGGGTCGGGTCCCCACGGTGAAGGGGAGGAGTGGGCGAGAGCAGCTCCCGCCGGGGACAGCTTGGAGGAGAGGGATGAAGATGCAAAATCAGATCCAAACCCATCTAGTGTCGCGCTACCTCCTGGGTGGCAGGCAGCCAGCGCTGCTCTGTGCTTTCGGTGAATGAACTCCTGAGCACGTTTTTCCGTCTCCTTGGAAGGGAGGGTTCTCGTCGTCGCCTCCCGGCCACAGCATTCGCCAGCCCTCTCCAACCCCTCCGAGAACGCGGGTCGGAGAGGGAAGGCGAGGCGGGCGAGGCGGGCGTGTCTCCTGTTGCTGTGTCTACAGACCGCATCACCGCAGCATCTGCACCAGGGGCCGGAGGCGGCGGCGGGGGCGGGGACACTGGAGAAGGTGGAAGAGGAGCCTGGAGGAACTAGAGGAGCCTTGGTTAGTTCTAAACCACCGTCTCTGTCACGGATCATTTTGCTTCCTTTTCCTTCTCTCCGTATTTGAATTTTAAAAATTTGCTTGGGGTTAAAAAAAAAGGAAGAAGAAAAAGAGTGGAACTGATCCAAGCTTCAAAGCGCGTGTCCTGAAAGGAGAAATCCATTCACTGCAAACCTTGCCCCACTCCACCCCCGTTTCTGAAGGATTAGACTGAGATAGTTAACTGAAGGTCCTGAGCTGCCCTTTCTACTGTTTGGAGGGGTTTCTTCTATTAAAAGAAATTTTAAAAAACACCACTTGAGAAAATAATTTTGTGTCTTTTTTCTGAATTATTTTTAAAGTAGGCCGCCATAATTACAGATCTTCATTTTTTTTGTTCACCTCTGTGAGCCACCGTTTTTAGGTTCATCTGAAGCCGAGGTCTGCAGGTGAACCACCTGTTTAACACAAGCCTGGTATGGGAAGCTCAAAACCTAGCAAGTGGGTTGCTCGTGCTTGAAAATAACCCGAAGGTGTTGTGTAAGGACAGGTGTTGGGGATATGTAGGCTTCTGGTTAAGAATTTTACTTTTTCTTATTTTCAAAAAGTAAATATGGAAGAGTTTAAGGTATTTGTCATAAATACTACTACTGAGATAGATTTTAATTCCAACACTTCTGAAAGAATAAATAGAAACATCTGCAAGAGACTCACCTGATTGTAAAGTGCTCTTTATAAGGAATGTGGGTATTGTTTTTCCTCCTTGGTGGAACGTAACCACAGAAAATGTTGATAGTTTGTTCATGTGAATCTACGTTTTGTATGCAAATAAGTAATGGCAGGGTTTTGTTGATGTTCAGGTGCTATGCTCTCCTTTCCTTGTCTTTTCTGCATATGAATGAGACGTTCTGAAGTAGTTCAAACAGAAGTAAGCTCACTTAGGAGAAATGCAGTAATGCCGTGTATTGAAATGCAGTGAGGAAGACTGCTGGCGACCTGCAGAGGCCTCCAGCAAAAGGAATCTGTGCTGTGCTCAGCAGTGACAGCAGTAAAACCTGGCCCTTCTCCATGTGATGAGTGTGGACAGCAAAACCACATGCTTTAAGTTTCCAAAAAGGGATTTTCTGTCTTAAAAACTACAGTATAGCCCTGGCTGGTGTGGCTCAGTGGATTGAGCTCCAGCCTGGGAAACAAAGGGTCATAGGTTCAATTCCCAGTCAGGGCATATGCCGGAATTGTAGGCCAGGTCCCCAGTAGGGGGCGTTCTAGAGGCAACCACACACTGATGCTTCTCTCCCTCTCTCCTCTTCCCCTCTCTCTAAAACTAAATAAATAAAACGTTTAAAAATACCTACAGTAAAGATATACAGAGTTTTTAGGTATCAAGTTTAACGATTAGGTATCTATCAAACAATTAACTCAAGGAGACTGAACAATAATATTAGCTGGTTATCTTGGAGCTGTGATGGTGGCTGGCTACTTAAAGAAAGGATTTAGATTGTCCATGAAGGAGTAGAACTCATCCTCCCCATTGTAAAATTAATATCCTGTGGGGAATCAGTTTTGTTTAAAGAGGCTGAAAATGTATATTTCCCAGTAAAAACAACAATAAAAGTTCATTAAGCTTACCCATTTAGACCATAATAAGGATTAAAAAAATAGACCAAATATCAAATGATTTATATTGTAATTGGATTATGTGTGGGCTACAGATAATCTGGCATTTTCTTTTCATCCATATCATATTTTGCAAGATATAGAGAAAGGAGTATATGGGTTTTTGAATCATAAACTTTGAGTTGGAATCCTGGGCCTGTGAGTTTCTAGGTGAATAACCTTGATCACTTAGCTAACCTCTCTGAATCATGATTTGCTAATCTGTAAAATGGGGATAATAATGCTGCACAGGGTTGAGAGTGCTTTGGGTAAGCACATGCATGCAGAAATGCAGAGTAAACACTGTCTGAGAATTCACTATGTTAACATAGAGAATGTGAAAATTTAAATACAATGTGTGTGTGTGTGTGTATAGAGCAGATTTTAACACACAGACCAGAGGTGGATGCCCAAGTTAGTTTTTTCCCTCCATCTGCCATTGAACTTTTTGATTGAACACTATAGCCTACACTATTTAGGATTTCAGAGAACAAATGTATTTATTAAGAATGGCCTACCATTTTGAGCAAATTGCACAAGAATAATTTGAAAGTAAAACACTGTACTTGAGAAAGGTGTCAGCTCTTTAAAGTGTATATGTTTTGTGCCATTAATAATGTACCTTGGTGATAATAATCTCAAGTTCTTTTTCTGTGAAATACTCTAAAGGAAAATAGTTTGCAGCAGTCCGGTTCCCAGGAGTCAGCATTTCCCAGTTTGTAGCATTTTTAGAAACTAGTACATGTGATACATCAGACACCAGGAGCAGAAAAAGCAATACGGGACCGTGCTTTTTCTCCCCATTCTGTAACCTCAGCGGGTCTTACAGTGACATTATATATGACATAACAGTTTTGCAAATCTCAGACTTTGTGTTTTGAAGGGAATGTTTTTCCTAATTTGAAAACTATTCAATATACACCTACCATGTGCCAGAGAAAAGAGTCAGGGGTTGGAGACTGAAAAATAAATAAGACCCACACTATGTTATGAAAGCTTCATAGTTTAAATGAGGAGACTGACCCATAAACCAATGATTTCAGTATAAATGACAGGTAAGATTTTTTTCTGAGTACCATGGGAACACAGAGGAATAATTCCACAGGCCAACCTGAGGACTCGGGATATTTCCTTATAATGATAATAATATCAACTAAAACAGCATTTACTGAGCACTTCCTGTGGGCCAAGCACTTCATATGCATTTTTTAAATATTAAATTTTTAGTCCTTAATAACCCCCTGAGGTAGATATTACTTTCATTCGACACAGGAAGACATGGAGGCTTAGAGACTTTAAGGATGGGTGAAAATGAGATCAATAATGACCGGAGCATTTTTACACACTGCACTTTACCTCACTTTGATTGAACTGGTCCATTTTAAACAATTCACTTACCCAAATTGTTTAAAAAGCAAAAATGCTGAGCTGAAAACTAGTTGGTTATAAACGTAAGGGGTTATCTTAATAAATCAGATCATAATTTCAACTCCAATTGTCACAAGTCAATTGCAAAGAACCAAAACAACCGAGTATTTAGAGATGGGACATAAATATTTTAACAGAGGTGGTTTTAAAACCTATGTGGCCACATTTTGTTGTGTTTCAGAGCCTTTTGAATGGATTGATGTGTTCTAAGCCTGAAGACCCAGTAGAGTACTTGGAAAGTTGTTTACAGAAAGTAAAAGAACTTGGAGGCTGTGACAAAGTGAAATGGGATACATTTGTCAGCCCTGAAAAGAAGACCTTACCTCCACTCAATGGAGGACAGTCACGGAGATCCTTTCTAAGAAGTGGTAATGTATATGCAGAATAATAGCTTATAGTTGTATTATAGCAGTTCTCCTTAAAACATACCAGATAGACTGTAGGCAATGATTTAATTCATTAGGTTTCTAAACTCCTGGAAGGAGATTTGGCCCAGGGACATGATTCAGCTCTCTCTGCTACTAATTCTAATCACCTCTATGGTTAAAGAAACAAAATTACATACTATTGTCCAGCAATTCACTATAAATGAAATTTTATATTACTGACTTCATTATTTTGTGAATCGAATTGCACTCACAAACTATGAATAGTTCTTAAAATTGCAAATAAGACATTTGCAATTAAATGAGTAGATGACAGACAAAATTGATAGTTATTGCTAGCTAGGAAGAGATTTCATTATTAATATGGTCCCAAATTCAGAGTTGATATTAATGCATCAGCATAAATGCATGTAAAGTTTATAATGTTAATTCAACAAGGATTTATTAAGCAGCTACTGAATGCAGTACATTAGATTAGACACTTGGGTGCTATAAAAGAAATGGAAGACATGAACATGTTTAACAATTTTAGAAACAGTGCAAAACTAAGAACTACAATTTCTTAGAGGAGATTCATGGTATTGTGATAGCTTTCTGAAATATGTGCTTATCAAAATTAGTGGTTCAGCATCAGCCAACCAGTCTTTTAAGCTCTGAATAAAATTGTGAAGTATAATATTATGTGCAATATGGAATCAGTTCTAATTAGGGGAAACTAAATTAATGCTTTCCCACTAGCCCAAATCATTCTATTTTCCAAATTTAAAGCATTCTCAAAAATTGTACCATGAAAAGTTTCGGCTATAAACACAGAATTCAAAGTGGAGATCATTCTATTTGCTGTAAGTACAAGGGGAAATAAATCTTAGTTTATCTTCATGACCCACTTAGATTTTATCTAAATGCTGTGTGGGAAAAGGTCAAATAACTGCATTAATTTTAAGAAACACAAGCAGAGAGGGAAAGCAGAAAGAACATTTGCTTGGAAACATCTCCAGGGAGGAGAAGGTTCCTTCCCTGTCCATGCAGGAGTTATCACTAGGTGATCTGGGATTGGGTGCTCCAGAGAGCACCTTTAGCCAATCGCTGCTGCGGCATTCCACAGAGTATGTTACTGCTTCAGTGAACAGGATATTTTCATGGGTCTAAAGAGTTCATGCACATTTCCAAAATGGCTAACTTATTTCCCAGGGTGTTGTCATACTGTCAGAATCTGTCTCAGTGTTAAATACATGCCCCATGCCCTAGCTAAATCAAGTGAGACAAATACGGTTAACTGTTTTCTAAACCTTAAGTACTAACAAACCTCAGGTATTACTGGATTTAGTCTAGGAAATTTTTATGTTTTAAAATTTAAATCTAAAAGAATATGACATTCTCTTAGTTGAAAAGCCACTTTCAGATGGGTTATATAAAGTGGCAGTTTTGCAACACAATGAAATCTATCTCCATTTTATACTGTTACTTGGCTTGATTATACATAGAAGCCAGGCAGGCCAGCGTGTGATATTGGTGTGAACTGTGGTCAAACCAGAGGGCAGAACTGGAGAGAACAATCATTGCCTAAAGGCAAGAACAAATTTTGGGACAATGTTAAGCTGAACTAAACACATCTAGCGGGCTCTGTTGGGCCCATATATGATCAGCTTTTAACTCCTGATCTGGCAGGAGAAGCTAAAACATGAATGGAAAATGTAGGTTTAACTTTCATTAGAATTAAAATTGCTTATAAATTTTAGTCTCCATATCTGTTAATACTTCACCAGAATTCCCACTAGAGACCTTTAATTAATCATCATGTAGAACCTTCCTATGTACTATGGTGACAAGAATGTTGTATCACACTGTCCTTTTTTTAGAGTGTATGCTAAAAGACAGACACTAATTTGTCCTGTAATAATAAAATTTTATTTAATGAAATGCTTTACACATTTGTGCTTTGAAACTTTGAACTCTAATTTAGGAAATAGGTTTTAAACTCAACAAAATGCTAACTTTACAGTAATTTAAAGCATTATGGCTATTTCTAGAAATAAAAGGTAATTCATGCATTCTTGATAAAACATTGACATAGCTATGCTGATAGGTAGTTATAATGAAAAAATATTCAATTAAGTAAGCATTTTAATCATTTAAGGCCCAGGGTTGTCCAACCTGCTGCCCACAGGCCACACGTGGCCTAGTGTGGCTATGAGTGCGGCTCGATACAAAATCATAAATTGACTTAAAACCTTTTTTTTGCTCATCAGTTTCTGTTAGTGTTTGTATATTTAACGTGTGGCCCAAGACAACTCTTCTTATTCCAGTGTGGCCCAGAGACACCAAAAGGTTGGACATTCCTGAAAACAAATTACTTTTCTAAGTTAAAATATGATAAAAAGCTGATACTGTAAATGTGAGATGAGTATCTAATTTTTTGCTATATGTGTACAATTGAACAAATAGTTGCTTGTGAATAAGAGTTCTAGTTCCCTAGCGTCAAACATACATAGAGCTTCTCTTCTGGACTTGTCATCTTGTGCTCAAAATGACCACAACCAAACATGCACACATACCATATTTGCTTCAAAACCAACACTTCCTTCTCCTTTTCTTATTCCCATGAAGTCAGTGAGTCAGTTGAGCCATAAAATAACCATTTATTGAGTGCTTTGTGTCAGACACTCTTTTGGAACTGTGTATATAGTCACCAAGAAAGAAAAACATGGCACCTTCCCCCACGGAGTTTACAATCTAACAATGAAGTCGGGCATTAAAAATATAATTAGATGCATAATAGGTGCTATAGGAAATGTCATATGTTATAGAACTAACCATGTTAACAGGAGGATGATTCTAGTCTAGGCTGGGCTTCAGGACAGACTTCTGGATGAAGTGACATGCTGATAGAGACGGTAAGCCAAATGGGTGTTAGGTAGACAAGGGTGGATGAGATTGAAGTATGCTAGGGAATAGATGGAGAAGTTCCTGATGCAAAAATGAGGCTATGGTGCAGACAGGAATGAGAGTAGCTCAGTATTTCTGGAACAGGGAAGAATGGGCAGAAAGATACTATATGAAGTACAATGTGTTCCTTACTCTTTCAGATTTGAAACCTGGCAATTGTTTTTGAACTGTCACCTCCTTTCATTTCTCTTGTCCCAATTCTGTGTCCTTCACACCCAGCCATTCAATTCTATTTCCTGTACTACCCCTCTAATCTAATCCCGAACTTCTTATCTGTGGATTATTTAAACAATCTCTTAGATGCTATTATTTCTGTGACTAGTCTCTCCCTACTCAAATCCATTCTAACCACCACCAAAGTAATTTTCCTAAAAATTTTTCATATTTCATCATGTCACTTTTCTATACCCTCCCCCAAATCCCTCACTGGCTTTCTACCAGATTAAAGCTAAACACCTTTAATCTGGTATTCAAAGGCCTCCAAATTTTAGCAACATTCTACCTATCCATTCTGTTTTTTTCCCCATGGGAAACCATCTATTTCAGCAAGGCTGTTCTCTTTGCAATTAATTCAACAAATATTAGACACTGACATTATGCTAAACACAGTTCCAGATCCCAGGGATACAGAGCTCCAGCTAGGTAAGGTCCCTCCCTGCTGTTCTGGAACATACATTCCAGTGGGAGAAGACAAACAATGAATGAGTAAGAGACCTCTCAGATGGAGAAGTGGTAGGTGCTGTGTGGAGCACTGTTAGTGATGTCCTCAAAATTAATTGGGTGGCCTGCTTAGATTAAAATGTCAGTAAAGTCATCTTTATAGGAGGTGACATTTAAGCTGAGATTTGAATGGCAAGAATAAATCAGCCATGGGACCAACAAAGAAAGAACATTTTAGGCAATGACTTGTTCCCACAAGTCATTTTCAAGTGTGAAAGCAGCAGACATGCAAGAGTCTATTATTATAGTTCAGGTGAATGATGGTGGCTTAGAGAAGGGTAGGGGTAGTGGATGTGGATTTGCAGTGTGTTTTGGAGCTAAAATCAATGGGAGTATTCTTTGGGTAGGATTGGATCCCAGAGAGTACAGGAATAAGTGGAAGCTACACTAACCTCCTCCAAAGATCAATCTGGAAATACAACTAAATTGTAGAAAAATCATCCAGAATGACCAACTTAACATTAGCTGGAGAGAAGCCTTCTAACCATGGACAGACAGAAGAAGCCACTTCACCACAACATGACTGGTAGGGAGTGCAGAGGAGTTGTGAGAGGCTGGCTGGGCTTCCATGGACAGCAGCTGAAGTGCCGAAGGGATATGTAAATGGCCACAGGGTTCCCCCTGAGAAATGTGGAGTCCAAAAGGCACAGAGATTAAGAAGCATGATTGGTAGATACAAAATAGACAGGAGGATGTGAAGAATAGTGTAAGAAATGGAGAAGCCGAAGAGCTTAAATGCACAACCCATGGACATGAGCTAAGGGGTAGATTGCTGAAGGGAAGGGAGTGCTGGGCAGAGGGAGGCAAAGGTGAAAAAAATTGGGACAGCTGTAATAGCATAATCAATAAAATATACTTTAAAAAAAGAAGAAACTCAAATAAATGATCTAGCTTCACATGTGGGGGGGCTTTGCCCGCAGGGCCCACCTGGCCACCACGGATGAGAATAAGTCTACCAACACAGGATCTGCATGGGGAGGAAAGGTGCCCAGTCTTTCGAAGGAGAAGGGCCAAGGGCCTTTTCCTCAATGGGCTGTTATTGGGTTCATTTTGCACAGGAATACAGGTAAAGCTCATTAATCATTGTCAGGCAGTAGATAACAATAGATAACATACGAAGAACTACAAGGGCTTATTCTGAGTCAGGGTCTGTTAGCTAAGGGGCTACAAAACTTTGGGAAACAAACTTATTTCTTGCTTGGACCTTTATCATTTAATTGAGAGCATTCTTAGCAAAGCAAGTTTCACAGGAGTTTATGTATTCTTTCTTAGGCCTGATCACCCAGGGAACCTGCCCTTTCCAGCACTTGGCTGCC